GATGTCAGCGACTAGTAGCCACTGACGGCCATTGACAGCCACTGGCCCCGATCATATGCGCACATTTTTTATTTCGATTTTTATTTATTTCATAATCATCACCTTCAATATGACTTGTAACGATAGTAATGGTCGATATATTTATTGCAATAGCTCGCTATTCTTATAAAAACGCAATCGTATAACGATCGACAATTAATCATGTTGTATGATTAATACTGTTTTTAAAAAATAGCGTATCGTTCCATGCAATTTCCATAAATTACATCTTAAGAAATTCTTTCAATTTAAAATAATTAACTTGCAAGTGTTTCGTGCTATTTCATCCCGAATAACAATCAATTTCTTTTAGATCGGAACATAGCAGAATAATATTAATAATGGGTACAATCATATTGTTTAGTTGACGTAATTAGATTATTTATCAATATCATTCTCATTAGATGCGTATAAAGTTTTGATTAACCCAAGAAAATTTGGCAAAGCCATTCGAATTAGAAAATGTGGATTTTAGTAGCTTCCGAGCCAACATACCCTTTAGCTTTCAAAAATAGATTAAACTGTATTATCCAGTTCAAAAGCATTTCTTGTTAAACTATTTTTGAATTTTGCTCTACTTTTTATACGCGTTATTGTTTATCTCTCTTATACATATTACGATATCAGTTTTATACTTTCATTAAGAAAATTAATTATTAATTGAAATAATAACTATTTATTGCATGTATATGTGATTTTAATTCTCAAGATTTTATTTCATATGTTCACTTTAAACTCGATATTGAAAGAGCTATATATATATATATATATCTTCTTTTCTTTCCCCCTTCCTTTATTCTCCTCCTCTTAATGTTTAAAAATAATTTTACTCTATTTCCTCGTGTCTTGTGATTTGTTATCCATTAAGTTCATGTACATCAGAAATAAATTGTTTTTTAATAACTCAAACATTTTTTAAATTATATTTAGATGATGAAGATACTGGTACCCCACCACCTACTTTGATCAGCCCAATTGATACTTCTGCCGAAAACGTCACCATTCACATTTATAAAGAAAGCAGCACAGGCGGACATTGGTGTGCTCGAATTATATTTTTTATTTTATTGGCTGTTCTTGCAGGATTAATTGGTATAATAATCTTCGAACATAGAGGAACTACAGATGGTAAATAAAAGAATAAAATATTTCGACACAGTGCAATAATCTTAACTAAACGTAAGAAGAAATTTATGCTAAAATTGCATCTTTATATTTTATAATTTTTAAGTTGATACGCCGGTAGCATCGTCACGTTGGGCAAGTATATTTGAAGGCTGGGTAGATGATTCGCCATCCAATCATGGCGAGCTAGAAGAAAAGCAAGAAATTAACGAAGAAGCAGAGGAAGAAGAGGAGGAGGAAGAGGAAGAGGAGGAAGAGGAGGGGAAAGAGGGGGAGGAGGAGGAAGAGGAAGAGGAGGAAGAAGAAAAGGAAGTGGATCATGATGAAAAAAAGTTGACAAAAGTTGAGGAAGAAGAAGAAGATGATGGAAGTATAGAACAAGATATGGAAGAAATTGGCGAAGAAGAAACACAAGATGAAGAGGAAGAAGACGACGACGACGATGACGACGACGACGATGATGAAGAAGAAGAAGATAAGGAAGAGATAGAGGAAGAAGAAAAATGGCAAGAAGAAGAGGACGAGCAAAAAGAAGAGAGAGCAGAAAAGAATAACGTAGAAGTTGAAGATACATCAGATGGTACGTGAATTGCGATACATTATAAAAATTCCAAGCATATTTTTTTATTAAAATAATATCTTCAGAAGTTGATGATGATGCGCAACAAGAATTTGACGCTGCTGGCATATTAGAAGAAGTTGACGAGACAAATGAGAACGAAGATGTAGAGGAAAACAATATTATGATTGATATGGAACTTGATGAATTTAGTACAGCTGATAACTCTGCAGAAGAGAAGAATGATGATGTACCTGAGGAATTCCCAAGTATACCTGGCGTTAATGAAATCGATGATAACAGTGCTGAACCTCTGGAAGAGGTATATACATATTGTTATATATTATTTATATATATATATGTATATATATATATATATACATCATTTCATTTATAACCATTTCTCTAGGATTATCTCTTTCAACATCAATTATTTTATTTATATTAACGATATTTTGTCATTGATGCCTTTTTATCAGATAGAAGGTGAAGAAGTTGAAGAAGAAAATTTAGATGATGCAGATAGTGAACTCGAAGAGGAAGAAGTTGAAGAACCTACTAGTGGTAAGTCATAGTTTATAACAAAATGTATATCAGCAACATCCTCGGATAATTACATAAATAAATATAGATATATTTGATCCTCCATGCTCTTCTTTTATCTCATTAAATTTATATAACATATAATATAATCAAATAATAAATAATATGAGCATCAGCACTGTAGAACAAAATATTAAATTAAAATATATTTGCTTTATATTAATCATGGTATTTTCTTATAATAAAAAAGGTAGCAATCAGAAATAATATGGTGGTTGCAGTGGCTGGGGAGTTTGGAGTTGGTGTTGCACTTGTTGTTGCTGCGCATTTTGTTCTTGTTAGACGATGGAATAACGGTAAATTTAATTTTCTTTACATATTATCTTATGTCAGTATATTTTGTATAGTTGTAGTTATATGGTACATAAAAAAATTATTAATGTAACATATATTAAATGTGAATCAATATCAGATGTAAATATTAAAATAATTATATTATATTATTATAATTAAAAAGATTAAAATGAAATTTTGCAGGTAAGTAATTTATGTAGATGGATTTATTATAATTGATCATAATTCAATTAAGACATATTTGACATATTTAAAAAAACAAATTTAGAATCAATAAATAATTATGTTTTTCTTGTATGTGTTAATAATATGTAACACACTGAATGATTCAATTTTTTAGTTGATATTGGTACCTTTCGTTCTCCACATGATATAACCAACGTACCTGATCTATCAAGAAGTGAAACAATGATTTCACCTCCTCACCTTAAGCAAGTAATTAAGTCAATTGAGAAAATTGAAAATAAAACACCTAAGCAAGAAGAAAATATTTCTTTAACCGACTTAACGAAACCGATTCCACAAGATGAAGTAACACAAGTAAAAGAAAAATTTCCAGCTCGAAGCACAACTAAAGAAGGTGCAGTGTCAATGATATATCATTTTTCGTCATATGTATTTTCTTATATTTTTTGTTGATAAATTGTACAACAGATTTGTTTATTTATATTCTTAATTGTAGAAACGAATGTTAGACATGGTCAATCTAAGATATCATCGGAGGAAGAAGAAGAAGAGGAAGAAGATTATGAATTAGAAACATCAGAAGGTGAACATGTTTCTGGGGTAGAAGAGGACGATGGAGAACAGATGAAAGATAAAGCTGAACAAGAATATGAAGAAGATGAAGAAGAGGAAGAAGAAGTTGAAGAAGATGACGAGGAAATCGAAAATGTTGACGATTCGGAATTAATAGCTAAATTGGACGCAAAATATGGAAAATTACCTACCCCACCAGATAGTGAAGTTGAAGAAGTAGAAGAAGACGCGGATGAGGAGGAGGATGAAGAAGAGGAGGAAGAGGAAGAGGAAGAAGAGGAGGAAGAGGTGGTGGAAGAGGAACATGATAAGATGCCAAATTGGAAACGTAAATAATAAATTATTAATTTTAATATTCTTTTTTATTTTAATTAATAGTATGATCAATATACATAATTTTTTGTTAAATATATAATAGAGAAATTAGTATATGATTCTATAAACTACTTTGTTGTAGTCATTTTCATCAGATTAAATATTACCATTTCCCAGTTACAAATAATTTAAATTTTACATGTGAGACATAATTAAAATGAGCATGGAGGATCTTTATCTTAATCCTTCTTAACATCTTTTTAAACGTATGTAATAAAAAAATATAGATTTATAAATATATCTTTCTATTTTTGCGAAATTATTACTTTTTATAAACAGGTGTTAAAGAGTTAAAGGGCTCAAGTGTGGAACCTCAAACGAAAAGATCCATTCAACAGACAAGGAGAGAGATTAGGCAAGTGGATAATAAACAACCTAAAGGTGGAGAAAAAGCTTATGATTTTAGTAATACATCAAATATAGATGATACAATCATGTACAAAGAAAATAATTCTGAAGAATACCAGATTGATAAAGAGTTTTACAGTTTTTAGAATGTATGTTTTTGCAAAATAACTTTGATAGACATATTTGTTTTTTCTTCTTCTGACACATCGCTACTGTTTTCTCGATATTATATTTATATCGTAAATGTGCGATGTATAAGATCCACAGTTTTAAAATATTAAAATATGATAATCATATATATATATATATTATATATATATATACATACTTAGTAATTAATATCATATTTATAGAAAAATTATAATTTATTCTTCCTCTTTCTTTATCTTTAATTTATCTTTAACTTAATTGTTTTCATTTTTGTTTGTTATAATAAGAATGTTAGGATTTGAAATGCCTTAACTTTATTAAAGCTCAATTAATATATACGTATCATTTTTATTAAAGACATTAAACTTTTATATACAAAGATGACTGATTTAGCATACGTTCAAATTGAATTGGTTAAAGGATACAGGTATGCTTTATAAAATATATTACAAAACTTATTTAAAATCAAATATGATAAGTAAATTGTGGCAATATAATAAAGTGCAAAGTATATGTAATTAATATATTTCTATCTTGTAAAAAGGTTAAAGGACGTAATTGTAACAAGTGATATGATAAATGTTGTTTTATATAAAATGGTTTATTCGAAACGTTCATGATGCAAGAAAACAATTTTTTTAAATACATATAAGATTATTTTATTCAATTTTGAAATATTCTCATTTCTATTAGATAAAGAAGTCATATTTTTTGCATAAACTTAAAGAAGACCATTTTCTATCTTTATTCTGTAATTAATATATACATTCTCTCTTCGTCTTCAAAGTGTATATTTAAAAAATAATAAACCTGCCCTGCGTTCCCATCACATGCGATGCATGTGAGTTTCAATAATCAATAAAATATTTCCTACGTTATATCATGCTGTCTTACAATTCCATGTAATGCGTGCTGTTATGACTGTTTAACTGTTTTTTGTTATTCAGCACAAAATATATTTTATAGAAAAAATAATTTTACTTAGAGATAATAAAGCAATGAGAAATTTAACTTACATTTTCTGAAAATATAGGCGAACTAGTCATATCGAGAAGAATTCGAATCGTCGAAATCTTAATCTTCATATTTTCAGTCTCACATTAACGTACATCTACGAATGTGACATATCGTAAAATAATAAATGTGAGATCTAAAAAATGTTTAAAAAATAGCATCCTGCGGAAAAGGTAATTCGTGCAACGGCGTATCATGGTTCAATATTTATGCTTATGTCTGTGTTTACGTGGAGAAGGGGAAGGCGGACTACAAGCTCTATGTTTAGAGGAAGTACGTGGAGGCGGTGGGGGTGACAAAGATGGTGATCTACGTCTTTTCCTATCACACCGCTCATTAGCGGGCGATCTGCGTGATCCTCTGCCTGAAGAAAAGGAAGGCGATGGCGTACGTCGAATACGAGGAGGGGACGGGGTAACTGGTACGCGTTTTTTATACGGAGATCTTGATCTGCGTTTGCAGCGCGGCGATCTACTGCGTGATCTAAAAATATATATTACGAGTACAAATAAATGACAACGCGTAATTACTTCACACAACATAATGTATGAAAAATTAAACAGTATGCTTTCTAAGTTACATACAGATTATATAAGAATATCAGTTAAAAATTGCGTCATAGCACTCTAGATTGAATAATATTAATTTGAAGTATCGTTAAACACCAAATATTGCACAAAGATATACAGATAGGTCGGTATCATTCATAGTCGACTCTTATATTTGAGATCGTTTTAAGTACAGTCTTAAGACGTCATGAGCCGATCAGAGAGCTGTATTAGCATCTGAAGATATTATTTAACACGGTCTTAAAATAAGAATGGATTATGAATACCACCCAAGTTTTTACCTATATCTTGTAACTTTTGCCGACGGGCTTGACGACCGCCTTCGATCTCTGTAACTGTGACTAGGAGATTCCGGTGTCGTACTTCGGCTTCGTTTCTTCTCTCTTCGTTTTTCATCATCTCGTTCTTCACTTTTTACGTCCTTCAATTCCCTTTCACTCTATAGAAATGTATACATTATGTACATGTGTATGTAATATAATTGTTATATCGGAATGAGTAAAATTATGTGTTTTCTACCTTTCTTATAAGTTTCTTCCTATAATGCTCTACTTGTGCCTGTATCGTCATACCAGACTTTAAAGTCCTTCTACCACTTTCTAATTCATCTTGATACTGCATGATTTTTACCTCAATCTCACGTAATCTGTTTCGCCTTTCTTCATTATAATCTCTCCCACTGTGTTAAATAATTTTTACAAATACATTTTAGTGTAAATGTACTACAAAAATACATTATCAGCAATTGATATTATAAAAGTTTTACCTGGAATCCATACTAGTATCTTGAGAATTAGAATCTTCGTTTTGACCTAATTCTTCCCATTTACTGGTAGTCATTGCCTGTGCCTCGACCTGATGAAAAAATTGTGTCAACACGGTATGAACGAGAAGATATCAATTTAATTTTACTGAGAAAAAAATATTCTGAAACCTGATCAGGATCAACGGTTTCCCATCGTGAAGGAACAAATCCAGCTGGCATTGCCGATTTTTTTTCGTCATCCTTATTTCGTGTGTTTGCGCTATCGTCATCATCCATTGGGACACCATCGATATCTTCATCCACTGCGACAAATATACATGTATGTATGTTATGTGTGCGCGCACGCGCGTGCGCACACATGTTTGTACATCGTTATTTATTAATATATAAAATTATATGAATGTGTTTAGGAACGCATATTTACTGGGCACTCCGTCAATATCGTCGTAATTTGAAGTCTGAGATGTGAGACCATGTTTCATGGCACCTTTTAATAAGGCTGCACCATCAAGCGGTACTCCGTCCAAATCTTCAGTACCATCGCCATCAACATCAGACAATGGTGCACCATCAATGTCTTCATCGTTCTCAGGTTCAGGTTCGTCCATCTAAAAAAGAAATTGGAGTATTATATGTATTATATCACAAAATCTAAAAAATTCATAGAATATCATTACTGTAAAATAAAAATTTACCAAAACAAGTCCCAGGAAAGTATTCTGTAACTTAACCAGAAAATCTCGTGGATACACTGCCCAATCTTCCCATGCTCTGAACATTCGCATAACGCGGACTTTGAATCCTTCTGTCTTTAATCTACTGTCAAACTGTTTGTATGCTTGATGAACTTCGTTAAAAATATCCAAAAGACGCGTCTCAAATCTGTAAAATAAATGAGTATGAAATTAATATCATATGCAATATTATGCATCCTTTATTTTGATGTGTATTTTTTCTTTTAAATAAAGAAAAATAAAGATAAGCATGTGTACATATGTACACAGGGTGTCTGTAAATTTCTGCATCACCTATCATGAGCAGGTAGAGCGGACTGAATTATATATATATATATATATATATCTCTCACTTACGCCTTCCTATAAATAGTGGCATTGGTCACTTTGACTCCGCAGTTATGTAATATGTCAGATATCAAATACAATCTTGCAATTTTTTTATTTACAGGAGTTTGTAGTATTGATAATGATTCTGAAATACAATCACAAATCTCCTCTGCTGCTTCTGCATGTTCTATACAAAACACCATTGCTTCTGCAACTTTTATTCTTTCAGGTGATATGTTTCGCAATAAATCTTCTAAGCGATCTCGCTGACTGTGAAAAAATATTTTTCAAACAATTAACATACATTTTTCACAAAGTATACGTAGTTACCTTTTAGTATATCTTTTCACAAAGATAATGTGGCTTAATTATCTTGGGACATCTTATCTTGATAAATAATCTCTTACTATTTTTTGTCGTTACCTGTTCGAGAGACTACCTCTTCTGGGTTCTTGCCTTTCTTCCATTTCTATCAATTCATCTGGCATACCCTGCGTCCAAGGATTAATCGGTGGTGGTCTCCATACACTTCCACCTTTAAACATTCTAAAATCTTCTGTGTGCCATTCTTTTTGCACATCTCCTTGTAGAATGGAGTATAGTTTCCAGCGGTAATAAGTGTGTGCAGGAGAATAATTTTCAAATAGAAATCTAAAATTGAAAATGTTTCTTTATTCAATTAAAATGTATTAGGAGCTGAGACCCAATGTTGGATGTAAGTTGTTAAATTCTATATTTGAAGTTACATATAATTCTAAACAAACATTTCAATCTATATTGGTCATTCTCAATGTTAATAACATATCACTTGATAAACATAGCTAACGGTAATCATATCTGACTAACTAAATAGTGAATAAAATATTTATAATGTTAAATGATTTAAAAATTATATAATACCAAAGGTTACTTACAACCACAGTGTTCAAATATAGAATTTAGCAACTTACATCCTGCGTTAGCTCTCAGCCCCTCATATATTTTAGTTGAATAATTTTACATATTGGAGTTGTTGTAATTAATGAAAAGGTTTCTGTTAGTTTAGTTGCATATAGATAAAGATGTATGTATTATATATAATAAGATATATACCTGAACATTGGATTATTCAATTCTCTGTTCATAATCATTGCTTCAAACATTGGTCCTTCTCGAATTACAAATTCCACCATTCTATGTATTAACATGACTAAATTCCTATAACGCAACTCAATTAAGTATGCATATGTATTTTTTGTGTCAATGCCCATTGACACAAATTATTTTATTCACAACAGAAGTCTAAATATTCTTCATAATTACATACTTACAAGATCTGTCATTATATATTAAAATCAACAAATACCTTTCTGTTGGTATAACGACTTTGACAACAGCATTCTGCAAAACCTTATAGTCCAGATCATAGTGCAACAATGATAGATGACAGGACGTTCCAATCCAAATGCCAAAAGGAACCCAAAGGTATCCCAAAAACGGTTACCAATAAATTATCACAACGCAATTTGTAAATATAATTTGAATTATTATTTTACATGATTAATGAGGATTATTCATCTTATATGAGTTATAAGTTAAAAATAAATCCTTGTTTTTTTTTACTTTTAATCAATAACATTTTTAGATAAATATATAAAATGCTTGTACCTCGCAAAAAACTTACCAATTTTAGTCAGTAAAAACATGACTGCCTCGTGTGTGTGTGTGTGTGTGTGTGTGTGTGTATGTGTGTGTAATGTATATGTGGATGCAGGTGTATGAATGAAAGATTTGATTTAAATATCTAGGATTAAATATCTAATTTAAGTTATTAAAAATGTCGAATGGTTCATACAGGTATAATTTTACCTTTTCAAAGTTTTCCTTTTCTTGCGGGTCTGCGCTCTGGAGGTTGCGGATACGTGGTATCTGAGATTATGTTTCAAAAATGGTTATACCATTCCAGTGTTAAATTAATAAAAGAGTTTTTATGACAATGTAATATTAATCATTTTGAAATATCAATCACACAGAAAACAAATGTGTATTCTTATGTTTTTTACATGATTATCTTCTCTTTCATATTTTATTTAAACACTTATGTATATGTATAAAATCTATTTACTAAATATATATATATAATATATACTACTGAGAGTAATAATAAAATTAATTTAATCTAAAAATGCTGAATTAATGATTAAACGAAAAATATAAATAGTTTAGCCAAGTTTTATTCAATAGAATACGTATGATTGAATGTTCATGACTCCCTAAACGCTCTTTCTATAGCAAAAGATGTCTTTTTATAATTAGAATTATATGCTATAATGATCAACACATGTAAGAAAAATATACAAATGATTAATAAGTATTCACAACATGATTATTCGCGAGGGTATTAAATTATTAATTTCGCGTGGGTATTAATATTAAATAAAAAAAAAACGAAATTGTTTAGATATATAGTTGAACAATTTATTAATTGCGCTCTTCAAATGTTTTATTTTGTGTACCTTATGTCTGTCGCGTCGGTGTGGCTGAGCATTAAATGGAAGACCAGATGGAGGTGGTGGCTGCGTGATTTCCATTAAAGCAGGTGGAATATAGATAGGATAAGGCGGAATTGGTACGCTTTTCCCCCAGCCTAACTTCATTTCATATTGCATTATATCACGACCTAGATCACATATTGAAAGAATATGTTTTTAGAACCATCATTATGTAAATCGATTGCAAATTATAATAGTTCAAATATAATAAATATGTTAAAAATAATTTAAATAAGTAAGTTAAATACCTAGACTATGCATATATATATATATATATGTATAAAAATATAAAATACGCATGCACGCACGCATACACACAATCACAGGGTGTCTTTATATGTATATTTATTAAAATACTATTTTATTTGAAACGGTTAATTTTCTTCAAAATTATTGAAAATACAAAAAAAGTTTCGGATGAAAGTGCAACGGTTTCAAGAGGGATATATTTTAGCCACGTTGTGTCCTTTTTAGATGGAAGCATTAAAAAAATATGATCATCTTCACTTTTTTAAATGGAGCAATATAATTTTTTCATATATTATTTCTCTAATTATTTTGCATATAAAAGTACTAAAGTAGGAATACTGTGATATTCCCCTTCGAAGCCGTTCCACTTTGATCTGAAATATTTTTTTGTGAATTTTCACTATAATAATTTCCGAGAAAACTGATTGTTTAAAATAAAATAGAGCACTCTGCGCGCGCGCAGACTTGCATGCACGCACAAATACATGTTTATATAATATTTTATTTTTTAAAAATATCCTCGCTATCTTCTCACCATTAAGATTTTTCAATGCTCTCTCTCCATCTTTACGACTCATGAATGCAACAAAACCACAATTTCTTTGTCTGGCTTTTTCTTCATCACTACGTGGCCACATTATTTTTATACTAGCTAAAGGACCATATTTGCCGAATATTTCCATTAATTGCTGTTCAGTGATCTAAAAAGATAAAAGGAAAAAGATTTTTATCAATTGTGCATTGCGATGCATCGGTTTCTGTATAATAGTGATAATGTTGTGTACAAATTGTTATTACAGTGATAAAATAATAGAGTTTACCTTTGGATTTAAATTTCCTAAATATAAGTTCGTGGTATTTGGATCACCATTGTCAAATGAACCATCTGTAAAACAAAAATCCTTCAGCATATCCCGTATTTATGAGACAGATAAAGGTGATAAGAGGAAAAAGATATTGGAAGGATAATGGTTACCCTCATATATCAGGGCTAAGAGACGGGGATCATCAATGAAGTTATGCAGATTAGCCTTTCGCGGATCCGGAAATGAGGATCTACTACCTACTGAAGTTGTAAGTATACTACAGATTTAAATACTATTGTAATAAAAATATACTGCCATATCTTTTTAAAACCAATAATAATTAAACAGTAATTAAATCGATTACATAATATCAAATTATAAAGTAATTTAATCAATATATTATACGATATACACTCAAGTATATGTACATGTATATAATACATATATGTATTACCTTCTACACATTTTAAAGCAGCCATCATTGGATCTTCAGATTGTGTAGATATTACAGTTTTCACCACACCCTTATACTTGTGCCTCTCTTCACGTTCCTCTTGAATCATCTTTAACTCCTCTTTGAATAATTCAAGATTGCTCTTCTTTTTTTCACCTTCTTTCTTTTTCTTGCCTAGCCTATCTAGCTTTCGTTCGTTTGTTCCAAGTAACCTTGCATATTCTTGAGCTTGTTCAGCCGATGATCTATTATCAACAAGTTCTGAGATTTTTGACTGTGGTTTATAAAGCTTTCCTTTTTCTCTTGTATCCTCCTCTATGAAAAGAATAAATTTATAATTTACATAACAAAGTACTTAAAACACATTATAATTCCATACTTACGTCTTTTTCCTGCATCGTATGTTCCTGCCTTTACCCAAATCTTATTAGTTGTTTTACTGGGTGTTTCTTGAAATGTCGCTACAAATTCTTCAAATGCCTGTACAAAATACACATATAAAACATCCGACAAAAACAGAAAAGGTGATTGTGTACGATACTATTCACCTGAGCTGCAGCTTGTTCCTGCTCCTTCTTACGTTGCTCTTCCAATTCTTTTTTACTTAATGGCCTTTTACCCATTGTACCAATGGAAAAGGCCTTAAGCTTTTGCTCCGCAATTTGCTGTAAATACAGGATATAAGTTGAAGAATATGCAAAGAAACATAAAAATGATCCCAATGTACAAAGAAATACCTTCATCATAGCCTTATCCGCCATTTGTAAAGAAATGGTCTAACCTAAAAAAAAAGGGAGGAAATTACATAAATTATTGACTAAAATTTAATCACTACAAGGATAAATTCACAAAAATAAATAATGCATACAAATTAAATGTTACAAATATCCGTCATAAAATTTCGAATCCATTCAATGAAATATATGTAGAAAGTGCAAATACGGTAATAAAATTAAAAAACGTTGAGAAAACAATAGGCTGGAATAATACGTATGTTGGCAGCTGGACGATTACGATAGCAATTGATTTGTACAAAAACGTAAAATTCCGTCACGATGTCAATGTCAAACGTTGTACTTTATCACACTTTACACGCGGAAAAATCATAAATTATAATATCTCTTCCTCAGGAATCTCATGATAGTAGTGACACCTAGGATTGCCACTTTTGAGGTTTTGGGTGCGTTCTACATATAATATAAGGCCCTGCGCACAATGGAGGTATATTAGGAATAGGAATAAATATTGAGATTTCAACCTATCAGAAATCTTGTGTTCTAGTGTAACTGGTATCTGATAGGTTGAAATCTTAATATTTATTCTTGTTCCTAATATTTGTCCTATTGTGCGCAAAAGCCCTAAAGCTGGTTCTACATTGATCGCAGTGCAGCGTCGCAAGCGTTGCAGTCCAATCAGAGTTGAGCTAGCTTGACGTTGATTGGCAATCTCTGTTTTTTTGCTGTGTTTTTCAATTGTGCATCAGGCTTAAGAGTTTATGGCTAGTATAAATGAAGCCTTGTCGCACATGAAATGCATAAGTCCGGATCTACAATAGGTGTTTTAATGCGGGGTCTACGGCTGCGGTCCACTTGACGCTACAAACGCTTTAAAGTGTTTGAGCGACCAATCAGAACAAAGAATTTTACGAATTGACTAATCAAAGAATGCTTCGAAGCGTTTGTAGCGTCAAGTGGACCGCAGCCTAAGACTTATGACCCTACGACCGCTACGACTTCTATTGTAGACCCCGCAATAATTCTAATTGGCTGTTTCTAACGGTACGTCTTACCCCGGATCTACAATAGGGTTTTAAGCCTTAAGCTATAAGAAATGGACGAATCATAGTCAATTATTCTCCTCGAATTCGATTGTAATTGGTCAATTTCTTACGGCTTAAAGCTTAAAACACCTATTGTAGATCCGGACTATTGCATTTCAATGGCTGCGTTCAGCAGAGAAAGCAGCTTTGCAACTGTTGTAAAATTCTTCAATATGATTGGTTTATACGTTTAGATCTGTAAGGAACCAAAAGCAAGAACCAATCGTATTGAAGAATTTTACAACAGTTGCAAAGCTGCTTTCTCTGCTGAACGCAGCCATTGGGCGCGTTCAAGTTGACAAAGCGGCTAACCTGCTCGCCAAGCAAATGAACATAATTGGTTGTTACTTATAGATCCAACCAATCATATTCAATCGCTCGGTAAGCACGCCTAGCCGCTTTGCCGTCTTGAACTCGCCCATTGTGAAGGCCATAGAGCCAGTTTCACCAACGCAGTTAACTTAATCGGCCGTTAACTGACCAATCGCGTTTGCTGTTTAGTAGAATTGATCAATTGCGGTTGACGGTTAATCATCGATTAAGCTTAATCATCGATTCAGCTACAGAAAACAGCCCTATCATATCACTGATACAAACGTCGTATCACGATATCGTCACTTGTCACCTGAGCCAATCGCAGCTGATCACGACGTCACATGTGCGTATAGTTTAATCCGTGCTTGTCAAGTAGTTTTGTAATTGTGCAAAATTGTCGATATTTTGGCTGTGATCTGTGATCGGCTGGTCGTATAAATAAACGACGAAAAATGTATGTTCGATGTTAAGGAATGATGATGACTCACATGCGAGTGACGATGCTTCCAAATGAGGTTAATAATGTTTTCTATGCCGACGGATATTCAGGTTATCAGGTATCGAATATCACTCTAATGTTAATGTTGTTACTTCTTGAAGGTCCTGTCGTAGACGACAGTGAAAGAGACTTCACGAAACTCTGACGAACGCAATTCTTACCATCCCACACAATCCAGAGAAAATGTACTGCCTACAGTGGCTGATCCCGGTGCTACTGATACCAAAACCTGTGAACCCAGCACTGCTGCAAACCCATGTCATGTTCATGGCACTTTATCTGATTGGGTTCTTCCTGGAGCGCAAACCCTGCACCATCTGCAGTCTTGTGTTCCTCGCTGCTGTCTTCCTCATTTGTTACAGTGGAATAGGCAATTGCCTACTCTGGAGCACAAATTGTGACACAGTAAGATGCGACAACGGCTAAAATCATGCCAACTGTTTAACTCAATAATATTTAGAGAATTGTCCCCTTGTCAGTTTTTCCCATTGCGTGCGCACATGAGTGAATTTTTGCCATTCTCTTCCTCTTTCTCTCCATACTCCAACATAATAAATGAAAGTAGCTTTTCAATCCATATTCTGCTAGCATCTGTTTTGTTCATATTGTGAAAGCGATGCCTTTAGTGTTTAGGTTTAGCAAAATTAGTTTTTCAAATTATTAAAAATTTTAGTCTAATGTTCCATAACGTCATGTTTTATTGAACATTTTCATGCTGAATTTATGTAGAGTTCAAATCTCAAAATTTTAAATAAGCAAAAATGTGATACAATGTATTTGATGAGATTCATATATAGTTTGAGTTTTGTCACAATTGTTGACTGGAGTAAAGTAAATTTCCAGATTGTAGCGTTATATAGCCTTTTTTTTGTTAATATATACTACATAATAGATGCAAATTTCATATATTAATTATAAAACACTTGCTACAACAGAATAAAACAAAAACCGAAGCTTATACAGGCAACGGCATATTCTTTTATATTTATCCATAGTTTTTAGAGGCAGTTTTTATTCCAATCTCTTCAATATGATTCTAAATAATGTTTTTCCAAATAGAATCCGATATTCTTCCTTATGCGTTATGCATTAAAAAATACATATAACAATTACATAGAGTTGCAATTCTTATTTTGTTAAAATCACTTGCATCAAACAATATATAAAATGGATTATTCGATTGATGTCAGATTCAAAATAAACATAATTTTTTAAATACTTTAACCGAACACTTAACAAGATTTTATATATTCACACAATATGTACAATGCACTTGGTATCAAAGTGACACAATGTACGGAAATTGAAGCATCTCGAAATTCAAGATACTATCAGTTAATAAAAATCTGAAAATCTAGCAAGTTGTTTATCTACATGGAACTAATTAGAAAATGTCGATTGATTTAAAATAATAAAAATCGAAATAATGTAGCGCAAATATTATAAAATTTAGCCAAGCGAGTGTTATTGAAATTAAAATTTCTCAAATGAATACTTGTCAAATCTGCCCTAACTAAAATATAGCATGCAGAACTAAAATTCAATGTGAAACATGTCTTTCATGTTGCTAGTTTGGTTTTATGTTGTCAGAAGTGTAAATTGTATTTATTTTTTAATTCATATGTCTCATAAAAAGATTTAAGTGAGATACAAGTTCTGTGCTGTAATTTATGATTGTAAATTTACTTGCTATCCACAAATGTTAATATAATTATCCAATTTAGCATAAGTAGTGTTATCAATGTAAATAATATGGGTAATCATAGTAACCAAAAATTATCCATATAATAGTTTATAAATATAGATAAAAATTGAACTAAAACATTAAGTCATGTCGGTAAATCTTTTATATTTGATGTCTCTGAAGTAATATATGAAGGTCAATTATCTTCCTGCATCTATCTTGTATAAGCTTATATCGTGTAAGCTTATATAACATTTTGACATAAACCAAGGAATTCCTTTAGCAAGGTTGCAAAAGCTACAGTAGTCTTAGACACATTTTTTTAAATTCAGATTCGAGTGAAAGCTTGACCAGGAACCTTTGCAACTATACAAAAATTATATCTATATTCCTTGATATATAAGCACAAATAAAGAATCTGATGACTGATTGGGAAACCTCGACTAGACAAGATAGATTTATCCGTTCGTTAAAACAAATTAGCATTAAAAATATGTTCAACTTTTCCACAATATTATTCTTTGTAATCATACCTACATCGCTTCCAAATATAAATTGTAAAATTTAAACTGAGAAACTTTACAAAAAAATAAATATAAGAGCTGTAAGTTTATAAATATATTATGAGTAATAAAGAAATTCCCAATCAAGTAAATTTGTTTCTTTTTCTTCAATGCATACTATATATTAGAAATACATTGATGAAAGTGTCACATGTATTAAATGTTAAGATAAAAATAACATCAGTTTTGTTTTTTAAAGCATATTTATTTTATATTAAAAAAAAATTACTGAAGAGCTTTTCCACGGCCGAAACCACCGCGGAACTCGAGATCGCCAGTACCTGCGCCAACATCGGCCTTTTTGTCACCGGCACTTGGAGGACCACCTGGTCCTCGTCTATATCCCGCACGATCTTCTGTTGGTCTTGAGCCTTCGCTCCTAGTTGCGGCAGGTCTTGGTCTTGTAGTTTCGGATCTCGGTTGTTTCTTAAGGGTGGAGGGTACAATTTCAGGTGGTAAATGTAAGTATCCACGCAGATATTCAATACCATCGTTTGTCAGATACCAATAGAAATGTCGCCATGCAAACTGTTCTTTGACGTATCCTCTAGACTTTAAAGACTAAAAAGAAAGATAGGTAAGTATATACACACATATACATACACTGGAAACTTTAATTTATATTAATGCATGAACTAATAATAGTTTACAATGCAACAGAATTTTATTCTTTTTGTGCAATGAAAAGGAAATAGCAAAAATTTTTACCTGCATAGCCTTAATGACTTGAAGATTAGGAATATTTTCTAATTCTGGATGTTTCGATGCATGATAATCCTTCTTCGCTACCATGACTCCCTCCTTGAAAAGGTACTCATAGATAGCTACACGATTTTTTTTTGGCATCAACATTCTGTGGAACAATAATAAACGGTTTAATACATATTAGTATAATAAATGTTATAGTTTAAAAACAAGACACATTGAAAGGTATACTCTCTTTAAGGTTATGTATAGCAATAACAAAGTACAGATATAGGCTAATACAGCTGCTTTATTATTATTAAGTTATGTTTCAAAATTACAGTTTGCATAGCTACAATTATGAATAACACTAAAAAACGAGTTTTTATTGAAGAAAATCATACGAGAATGAGACGTGTACAATTCGCAAATACTCCACGTAACAACATATAAAAACTGAATATAATGAAATATACTTAATTTGGATAACTTATAGATTTTGATCAACTTTTTGCTTTCTTATAATTTTTATAAATAAATAGGATTAAAACGGATATTGTAGGAAACTCAACCTACTTGACGATTTCAACGCGTGCCTGTTGTCGGAAAGAATCATTCGCTTTCGCTCATGAACAATATCGATATACTATAATACGATACGATATCTCGAATAATTCGAGACAAGCAGAAATAACTGTAGGTCACTGTAGGTTTGTTCGAGTCGCATGTGGTCGCATGGTTCAATATGCTCCTACCATGGGTGTATTCAGTACTACGATCGTTCACTCAGTGAGCGCTCAGTGAGCTCTTGAATCTGTTTGGTTTATGACTACGTTTACACGGTTCGATTTAGGCCGAAGTTAAGCCCAGTGTCCACGATGCTAGAAATCCGTCCGAGATCTCGGATGAAGAAAGAATTGACCAATCGCATTGATCATGTGACTAAATTGTTTAAATGTGATTGGTTAATTCTTTCTCTCTCCGAGATCTCGGACCAATTTCTAGCATCGTGGACACAAGGCTTTATAACATACGAAATTGGCCAATCACAGTCATTCCATTCTTCAGAAGAATAGCTATGATTGATTAGTTCCATAAAGCCCGTATCAGACTATCGACTCTGCAAGCCGACCCGACTGCCAACTCTGGTTGTGACCAATAATGGACCAATCACATTGAATCAGTCTTATTGTGATTGGTCCGTTATTGATCGGCAATCAGAGTTGACAGTCGGGTCGGCCTGCAGAGTCGGTAGTCTGATACGGACTTAACGTCGATGTTATAACTTCGGCGTAAATCGGGCCATGTAAACGTAGTTTATATTTTTAGTTCTAACGAAATATGCCAATCAGATGATTGTGACCAATAATGGACCAATCACATTGAATCAGTCTTATTGTGATTGGTCCGTTATTGATCGGCAATCAGAGTTGACAGTCGGGTCGGCCTGCAGAGTCGGTAGTCTGATACGGACTTAACGTCGATGTTATAACTTCGGCGTAAATCGGGCCATGTAAACGTAGTTTATATTTTTAGTTCTAACGAAATATGCCAATCAGATGCAAGAGCTCACTGAGCGCTCAGTGAGCGGTTGTAGTACTGAATGCACTCCATAGCTCTTATGTCCGTGTTAATCCTGTTTCAGCGACATAAAGGATACGTAGTCAAATATTAAGCGTCTATTTTGATCATGTGATCCTTTTTGTCGCTAAAGCAGCTGGTTTGAGCAGCTCGTGAAAATTTATCTTAAGCTGGTTCTACATTGTCGCATCGCAGTGTCGTAAGCGTGTCGCAAGCGTTGTGGTCCAATCAGAGTCGAACTAGATTGATGTTGATTGGATCGCAACGCTTGCGACGCTGCGATAAGACTAATGTAGAACCAACTTTATAAATCTAATGACTTTAACTTTGACCGATCATTGGCGCTCTCTGAACATATATGTAGGTTTACTTGCATTATGCCATGGTAGTGTCGGAATGACATATCGGCCGGTATTTATAATAAATTTTGATATTTAAGATCGTCTTAAATACAGTCTTAAGATGTCATAAGCCAATCAAAGTTGTATTAATATCTTAAGAGTTGAAATATTACTCGCCATTGAAACTTTTTAAGGCTTGCAATGTAGATAGTTAAGTTATAATTATCTTGTTACAATATCTATATACAAATTCTATATACAAATTCTATATACGTAATTTAAATTATACTACCATGGATTTTCTTAAGGAAATATGAAATTAAATATCAATCTCTTGATAGCAAAAAGGTTCAATAATATCAAAATGTGATTGTACTCGATCTACCATTTGTTGGTCGAAGGTTAATGTTATGGAATAAGAATTGGTTTTTTTTTTAATGTAAACTGTGAGAAACAATGCTATGTACACAAATGAAAAACATGTTATACTACGTTATACAACCACATATTAATTTTGCAGCATCTTTGGCTTATTTTTAGGCTACAGTATAATCTCTATTGTTAAAATATTGTATTTTTCTTTTGAATTTTGTTCCATCGACAAGTCTCAAAACAGATATAAAACAGAAATTGACTGTGGTTTAATTTGAAGGTGATTTGAATTTTAAGCAAAAATATCTATAATAATTAATTAATAATTGTTTTAATTAAACATTCTTAATTGCCATCGTTGTTAACCTCTGTACAATTCAAGCTTTTACTAGCTTTACATTTTTCTGTTGTATTTTCATTATGAAGTTTAAGAATACGTGTACGACGTCTTCTTTTATGTTTTGCTCTTGTATCTCGTTTCATACATATTTTATGACCATTTAAGATTGGCCATTTGTGCTTTTCCATTAGATATTCCGCTGCTATTTGAATATTTCTCATTTTAACCATTGCGCTCCTACACAAATTGATAAATGCATTATTATAAATATAAATATACATACATATATACATGTATATATATATATATTATATATACTATTGCACCATTACAGCAAAGTTAGAAATTTAATAAAAATAGATTTAATACTGTTTAATAAAAATAAATTGTACTTACCTAAAATTTTTATTGTAATGTTTTAATAAAGTAACACTAACACATCCAGGAAGGGCACCTCTTATTTCATGTGATTTTGTACCACTCGATATATTTGAGATAAATAATCTGTAAAAGTATAAAATGCAATATTAATAATCTCGTGAAATAAAGTTGTGATTTAAGCAAGTGATTCTTACGTTTTTGTTACTTCAACATCCGGTTTAATTTCAGGTATAAAAACCTTTTTTTTTGTATTGGTTTCTTTTTTAAATACAAGCTCATGCAATGGTTGAATAACAATTCGCTCTCCATCGATTGTTTTATCCTTTGCAAGTTTATAATTTTTAATCTTCTCTTTCATGGTAGGAAAGATGACATGACATGATTTACTGGACTGTCGTGGTAATTTTATATGAAAATTACCCTCAAATAACTGTTCAATTTCATTTTTATCTTTTATTATGTGAGGAAGACGTACATTCAATGTTCGTTCCCTTCGTTTGTTCAATTGAGATAATTTCCGAAACTTGGGCATAACCTAAAAATTACCAGTTATTACTACTAAAATTACTACTTATAAAAACGATGATACTTCGGAGAAAACAATTACAAAACTGAGATAAAACAAACATACGTATATCTAATAGATGGTGCAAGAAGTCAAATGAAAACTGACCAAACACAATATAGCAGTCTCTTGCAATCTTTGCTCCAAAAATCCAAATCCGTTTGTTGATTTTTTCTTTGTGCAATGTGCATATGCGATCATGACATAAAAAAGACAAGGTTATACTCATCCGGTGGTAACCAACCACTGGACTGCGTTCAGGAATTACGCCTAGATGACTCTAGGGTGCATTTTTGCTATAATATATGTCACATAACCTATAGCTTATGACTCCTGTACCAGACGCGGCAACGCTTACTGCGCGGCGGAAGTTGGCGCGATAGCCAATCAACGTCTCGCTTGCTCGGAAGTAATAGATATATAATTTCCACCGCACGACAAAAGTTGAACTCAATTCTATTTTTGCCGCGCGGCGGAAGTAGTATTACATCATTTCTAGAAGTTTTGCAAGGTGAGACCGACTTAAGAACATAGACGAGGCCGACTTAATGGTTCCTGCACACTGGACGCGGAAAAGCTGCGGCAAAATGCGACCAATGAACATGTTAGGAGCTGTAAGCTTATTGGCTACCGCGTCACATTTTGTCGCGCGGCAAGCGTTTCCGCGTTCATGTGCAGGAATCATATCTGTGTGTTGTGTAATCACTGATAGCACTATAGCAGGTGATAATGAACAATAGTGAACGACAATAACACCGGTTGACAGCAGTTAACAACTTGTGGACGTTTATTATTGACAGTTGTTTTGTTGCGGTCCCGTAACTGAAACTCTCAAAATTTTTGCGCGGCAACGTCAGGGGACATCGCCGCGCGAACTGCGATGGCGAGGCAGCTGCGAGAAACTCCGGACCCTTCTCCGCGCGCGAGACAGTTACGTCTCGAGGGTCCGCTGGTGATTCCCGCCAATTTGACATCAGGTACGCTCCATACCTCGAGTGTCATCAGGTCGTGCCTTTTCTCTCTAATTTTGCAAAATAATTGTATCTTTCTATGTGCAACGCGTTTTTTGCAATAGACTCAATTTGCGTAAGAGTGACGTTGCGAAAATCTACTTAACCTCGCATGCCGGATTTTCGCGAACCATAACAATCCTACGGCCGGTATTCATATAGTTTGTTGTTAGATCTTTTTTTTGCTGCACTTTCTGAACTTATTGCACCGGTTCAGAGTGTAGCAATAAAAAAGCAGACTTCTTAAAAAACAGGCCAGTATTCATAGTTGGTTCTTATTTTAAGATAACTTTAAATAATGTCTTAAGACACTAATATGGCTCTGTGATTATTTATGGCAATTTGGGATTATACTTAAGTTAGTCTTACTTAAAAGTCTTACTTAAAGAATCAACTATACTGGCCTACAATCATTGTTTTTCTTTAAATAAATTTTTCTCTTTTGTTTTATCTAGAATTTTTGGATGCATGCCCCCATGGTATAAAAAGCAATGTGTAGCATTGTGCATAATAGTGGCAGCTTTGGCAGTTGAACCAATCAGAAGGCAATCCATTTTGGTTTATTGCAGATACGAATATTTACAAATGTATAATCATGTAGGGGAAAAAGGAGAAATTTCTGTAAAGCGCGTGAAATATTAAACATAACATTGGAGCACAAACGATGATTCTTAAGCGGGGAGCACAGACTTTTGCATAACGCATAACATGTAATGCATAAGAAATTCAATCAATCAGAATTCTTTATTTCATGGAAAGGAAGGAAACGGAGAGCTTTGATTGGTACATTTTCTTATGCATTACGTGTTATGCGTTATGAAAGAGTCTGTGCTCCCCGCTTAACCATGCATTAATCGCGACACATAATCTTTTTTTATATTAATTGGAAGTATACGTACAATATTGCAAATATATACATATTTGTCATAATATATGTATTTATCATAATATGTACAATCATAAATCTTTATTTAAAAAAAAATACTGATGACTGATAAAAATCAACTTTTTACACAAAATATTATTCCACAATAAAATATTATAGTCTTAAGGGGATCCTAAAGCCGCTGTATTATCGACTAAATCATAATTTTTGTATAACAAATACTTTTTTTTCTTTCATAGGTTCTCGAAAATCCTTTTCTAAGATTAAAGTATACACATTAATATGCGTTTGTAAAGTGGAGTTTATACTGAGAACGATAAAAAATTTTTCTTAAGATTTCAATTTCGAAATTTGTTGTTCTCAACATAAACTCCTCCTCACATGTATTAATGGGTATACTTTAATCACGTAAAAGGATTTTCGAATCTGTAAAAGAAAAAAAAGTATTTGTTATACAAAAAAATTATGATTTAGCCGGTAATACAGATGGCTTTAGGATCCCCTTAAAATGAAATTGAATGTAGGAATCTGTTTATACACTCATGAGTATTTATCAGCATTTTGATAGCTTCGTCACAAACATCTCCATAAATAAAATACTCCATACTGCACTAACGTACGCGACGGATGTCACTTTAACCCTCCGTGAACCAGGTGGAAAATCAACATGGATCAAATGTGGATATCTCATACCCCATGCTATATTTCATTATAAATATACTATAATTTAGTGTGATTGGTAACAATGCACTCTCCAGTTGCATGAAATCGGCAAAATACATGAGCGGTACTTTTTAAGAAGTTATAGAAATTCTTGCTGGGGTATGTCACATCCTACCTAGTTCATGGAGGATTAAAGTGAGCGCCTGCAAAAAGGGTCGCGTGCTGATTGGTTCAGAAATTGAACGACTGCACATTATCGAGAATGCTACACCTTGCTTTTTGTACCATGCATGTCCCTATCTTGCTTATTTAATTTGTTACATACATATATTCATGTTGACATATATGTATACAGTCTGTTTTATATAGCTAAGACATTTTTAGAACTTAAAATAAAATGTATGTATTTGATATTTGATGAAAGGGAGGAAGTTTTAATATAGGAATGAAAAACAGATCTATATTTATTATACAGCTTGAGACATTTTGATAATTTATGAAATGTATTTCAGCAACATATAACATGGATGTAAGCACACTGCAGAATTGGCTGAACAGATTACCTGATGATTGGAATTCACCGCAGAGTCCCGATGAACTTGTCATTCAAAAGAGAGGTCGACGCAGGTCTATAGTTTGGTCCCCTGATCTTGACACCTACAAGCGACGCAGTTTGTTTAGGTATAATATGTCAGCACGTACATAACAAAGCTAATAACATCTTTGAGGAAGATTGACAATCTTTGGCATCAGTTTGAGTTCCAGAGACCGCACGCCAGTTAAAAGTCCATCGACATCAAAAACAGTATTGAGAGATGCTGCTAGAAAGAGGCTCTCTCTTATTGATACTCGCCAATCCAGTTTCACTATACCGGAGAATAAGAAAACATCATTACCCTCTCGAATGTCATTAGAGGCCGCAAATGTGTCGAGAGTACGATCCAATGATAATTTGGCAAATGGTTTGCGTGGTCTCAGTCACGAGCAACTCGTGCAAATGATTATGGAACTGGTATACGCGCAAAACGAAGGTATGCTGCGCGAGAATGAGAAGCTTCGTAATGTCCTTTCTAAGAATATGCCGATTGCGGATATTCAGCCGCTGATAGAAAAATTAGTTGTTCTACGACAAAATATTTACGCCAGTCTTGTATTAGTTTCCAATTTGGCTGATGATTCCACGTACAGTTGTGCTTACGTACATTTGGACGTATTTCAGGTTCGTGTACATATTACAATATATATATATATATATATATTTAGCTAAGATAATAAGACTATTTTATTTGTGTGAGATCTTATTCTCTTCCTTTGTTTATTTATAAGAATTTGATCAATTAATTATACAACTATTGCTCAACTTATGAAACATTAATAACAATTTTTTTTTCTGTTTTTGCAATTTGTTTCTTTAGAAAACTCTGAATGATCAAGGAAGAATATTGCAAGAGTCTCAGCATTGGATTTCGTTAATGCGCTATGCACTAGAAGCATGGAAAATTACTAGGGAATTACCAGAATGGAAAAATCAGGGTTCTCATAACATCACACGGAAATGCTTCAAGAATCTATCGCAGTTTTGTACTGAAGCTATAAGAAGAGGGAATTTTGAAACATCGGCTCTAAACATTTACATTGAAAGGTATGTAAAATAAAAGAGCAATTTCTCTCTTTTTTTTCTATTATTTCTTACAGATTGCAGATAATATAAAGAAACGTTGTATCAGACTTGACGCAGAATTAAAAAATTGATAATTTTTTAGCATTAATTACTAATTAATTATTTTCAGTCTCAAAACTATAGCTGCGGAATGTGAAGATTTTCAAATTTGCCTACAAATAGCGAAGAAAGGAAATGAGATCTAGGCTTTTTTTTACGAGATCACACACATAATAATTCTATTTAAATATTTTCTATGTGTGATAGCCTAATATTGACATGTATCTGTATACAGGATGATATTTGAGATAGAATTAACCAGTATTAACCGGTGATAGAAATGACCAGTGAAGTTGTAGACATGATTTTAAAAATGAAAAATGGAAGATTTTGTTTTTATACATATAACATTAAATATTTTGAATTATCCTGTATATGTATATATATCGACGTAAAACAAATATGTGTTTTATATTTACATATTTATCCAGTCAACGACTGCGTTTATGCGCACATTGATATGTGGATAATATATATGAAAAATATGCTGATATATATTATTCACTTTTTCGACGTTGGATGATACAAAACAAATTGAATTTGTTTCGATACTTTCTTTAAACCATTTTTATTTAAAATCTATAAATAATTTATATTAACCCATAGATGAAAAAAAAATTATTAACTTATCAATAATTGTTACAATTTAAGAGTACAGAAAATAAGTACAAATTAAATTTTCTAAAAACAT